TCTCGCCAGGGCTAGGGTCGTGGATATTTTTTAACGACCCTTAGACCCCTCGGCATGGCCCAAAACCACCCCGTCTCTCCCGGGAGCTACCCGGTCGCCGCCATCTTCGTGCATGCGTGGTAGAGGGTGTAATCCACATTTAATAACAAAATCGGTCTGTAATTTTTTATTAATTGTAAATCTGTATCTTCTTTGGGAATAAGTGTCACATATGCCTCCCTCCATGAATCTGGCATTTTAGCCTTCATTAAAAGTTCATTGAATAATTCCAGCATTACGTTGCTCATCGCTTCTTGTAACGTTTTGTATAATTCTGCTGGTAGGTCATCCGGTCCAGGTGCTTTCCCATTTTTTTGTCTTTTTATGGCTTCTGTTAATTCCATCATTGTTATCCTTTCTTCTAACATTCCCTTATATTGATCTGTTATTTTCAGTAGATCTGACTTTTCCAAATATTTTGATATCTTTTCCTCTGAAATTTTTTCTTGAGAGTAAAGTTTTTTATAGTATTTTTGAATTATCTTCTTCTTTTCCTCGTTTCTGTAACATATTTATTCTTCATCTTGTAAATATTTTATCATCTTTTTCTCCTTCTCTTTTTTCAATTTATGCTAACCATCTTCCTGGTTTATTTGCATTTTCAACAAAGTTCTGTTTAGTTGCTTTTAATTTATTTGCTAATTGTTCTTGCTCATTTAAATTTATTTCATGTTTTTTCACTTCCATCAACTTCTTAATTTTTTTTATTTTGTATATCTTTTTGGAGTCCTTTTACTAATTTCTTATACTCCTCTTCCAGTCTTATCTGTTTTTGTCTTTTCTTTTTATTCTTTTTTCCCAAATAAGCTATGGCCAGACCTCTAATATAAGCTTTCATAGTGTCCCATACAATCTGAAGTGATATGTCCTCTTTTTTATTTACTTTAAAGAAAAACTCTAACTCTTTTTCCATAAGCTGTTGAAAATATTTTTCATTTAATATTGTTGCATTTAAAGTCTATCTTGTCTTTTCTTTCCATGTTATTATCATTGGGTTATGATCCGCCCAAATATTTGAGTCAATATTTGCTTCTTGAATATTATCCATAAGTTCTATTGACATCCATAATATATCTAACCTCGACCATGATAAGTGTCTATTTGAATAAAAAGTATATTGCTTTTCTTTCAAATGCTTTTGTCTCCATACATCTTGAATACTCAATTCTTCCATCATTGTAAAAACAGATCTCGGCAGTATTCTTCTAGACTTTTTATTAGTCTTCATTGTTTTATAGTCCAAGTCCACCTCTACTATGGCATTAAAATCATCCATTATATATACATATTCATAATCCAGTTCTAATATTTTTTTGTGTAATCTTCAATAAAATTCTTCTTGTTTTTCATTTGGTGCATATACAGCAATAAGTAATATTTTTTTTAAGTTCATTTTTATTTCCACCATCAAAATCCTACCTTCATCATCTTCAAAACATAATTTTGGTTCTAATTTTTCTTTAATATACAGTACCACACCTCTTTTACTCTGTTGTATCAATGTTGTAAATAAAACTCCTAGCTTTGGATATTGTAACAATTTCACACGTTGTCTTCTAATATGTACTTCTTGTAAACATATAATGTCCATTTTCAAACTATTCAATTTATTTAAGGATCTATTCCTTTTTATCGCCGCATTTAGTTCATTTATATTCAGTGATATTACTTTTATTTCTTCTTCCATGTTTTACTTGTTACTAGTTTTTGACTTCATCGCCCTTGTCTCTCTTTGTTCCAAATTTGTAATGAACAGATTGCTGATCTAACTACATCATCTAGTATTAGAATTCTTAGAAGTAAAAAATACCTTCTAAGTATTTTGGATGTAGACATTTCTCTTGCAAGAATGTCAATAGATACTTTCCATCTTTGTTTGATCTGCTGTGAATCAATTTCTCACTGTTCATTAGTATCCTTTAGCATACCAATTCAATGTTAGAACTTTCTTTCGAGTTTGAAAAACTTTTGGAAGACATTCCTGGTTTTCCATATCTCTTTCCATCTTCAATATAGTTGCAGACATTGTTGTAATACGGCTTGTGTCTTTTAATAACTTTTTGAAATTCTTTGTTAAGTTCCTTTCTGACATCTTTGTTTTTCTCATCCTTGACTTCTCTTCCCTTTTTGACAATTTCCAGAGTTCTGATATCCATATTTTCTCATATTTCTCGGTCTTTAGTGGTCTCTTTCCACATTCACCCTTAACCAGAATATAACCAGGGCATACAAAATCTTTGCCAGACCAATACTCAAATACAGCTCATCTGCCTGGAATCCACACTGTATAACGGACATTAATACAATTGAGCGAGTCCAGAGGTATTTCACAAGAAGAGTACTCTACTCCTCTGCTTGCAATAGAATACTTTATGCCACCAGGCTCGAAATTTTGGATCTGGACAACCTAGAACTACGCTGCCTATGGTCTGATTTAAGCTTAGCACATAAAATTGTCTGCTATAATGTCCTACCTGTCAATGACTACTTCAGCTTCAATCGGAATAATACACGGGCAAACAATAGATACAAACTCAAAGTAAACTACTCCAAACTCGATTGCAGAAAATATGACTTCAGCAACAGAGTGGTCAATGCCTGGAACTCACTGCCTGACTCTATTGTTACATCCTCAAACCCCCAAAACTTTAACCTTAAACTGTCTACCATGGACCTCACTCCATTCCTAAGAGTAAAGGGGGCGTGCATAAACGCACCAGCATGCCTACCATCCCTGTCCTACTGTTCACATTTATTCGTACTCATTTATTATGTATATACTTATGCCTGTTTATACTTATATGTTTATATGTTATGTTCATACTTATATATGTTTTCTCATACATGCTTGACAAACTAAATAAATAAATAAAATAAAATAAAAATAAATAAACCACTTCTTGATTTCATTCAAACAGTTCCTCTGCTTTTTTATCAATGAGGTTTTCGAAGTGATTCTGGATATTCTTCTTGAAAATGGTAGGTTATGATAATATTATGGAAACTGGTTGACTTTCTTCTTCTTTATTTGGAGCTTGCAATTTTAATTCTGTATTCTCCATAGAATTATATTCATGTCATCATTTTAACTGCTAGAAGACTATGTTAGCCAAGAAAAAATATTGCTATTGGCAGAAATTGAAGTGTCTCTCTCATCATTTTGGTTTCCTAGGCCACATTGTCCAATTACATTGCCCTCTTTATTTCCAGTTGTAGCATTCCAGTCCCCAACCATAGGCAACACATCTTATTAGAACTACTTTATTTCAGTCTGAACCTGACTATGAAACTCATCAACCTCCTCTTCTGCATTAGTACCTGCAGCATAAACTTGGATAATGATCATATTAAAAGGTTCTCCACAATGTCTAATTATTAGGTTATTGTGACCACTTTGTATCCAAGTACTTTTTTTACTCTAACCTTTCTGATTATGAAAGTAATATCATTCCTTCCTTGTTTTTCATGTCCTGAGCAGTAAATAGTATGATCCTCTGACTGAAAATGTCAAATTCTGATTTATTTCAATTATCTGGTCCTAAGATGTCAATGTGTATTTGATTAATTTCACTATCTCAAGCTTTCCCATGTTCATGACTCCTATACTTTATGTTCTCACTATAATTCTATCTTTGTAGCTTCAGATTTTCTTTTCCTGCATAGCAACATCAGCAATTAAACATCCTGAAAACTTCAATCTAGTTATGTCATGGACACCATTAATGTTCTAAAAGAGCCTTGGTAGTATAAGGGTTTAAGGCACCCTGTTATTAAGCTGCTTAAGACCAGCTGCCTGCAATTACTGCAGGGTTCGAATCTCGCCAAGGCTCAAGGTTGACTCAGCCTTCCATCCTTTCTAAGGTAGGTGAAATGAGGACCCAGTTTGTGGGAGCAATAAGCTGACTTTGTATAAATATACAAAAGGATGAAGGCTATTGCTGAGCACATTGTAAGCCGCCCTGAGTCTTCGGAGAAGGGCGGCATATAAATCAAATTAAAAAAAAAAAAAACAGTGGTAATTGGGACTAGCAACTCCATCACTAAGCATGATGGTCAGAAAGGACAATGTCACATGTTCACATCAACTTATGATAGCAGTTGCAGCTGTTCCAATTGCTGCTGTTAAGCAAATCCCATTGTGTCATTAAGCATAATGTCACATGATTGCCATTAGCAACTTCCTGCAAGCTTTCCTACTGACTTTGTCAGAAGCCAACAGTGAACAACAGCAAACATATGACCTCAGAATATTGCAGCCGTCATAAATGAGAGCCCATTGTGAAGTTCAAGATATGAGATCAAATCACAGCAGAGATGCTACGATGGCCACAACTATGAGGACCAGTGGTTAAGTCTCCTCATTCAGTGATATCATGACTTTAAACGGTCGCTAAATGAATGGTTAACTGGTGATGTAAGTGAGGACTACCTGTATAAGAATTTATGTTTTTAAAGGTGCAAACAATATCTGAGCATGAGAAATTTTAAAAAACATGTAACAACAAATGTTTTAATCATTTTTATAAAATATTTATTAAAAATATAACTGAAAATTTGTATTCCATTCATGAAAGAATCAGCGTATCGACAAAAAGAAAATCAGTACTGCACTAGCATCCCATTTAGAGCTCCATAGATGAATTACAAATTAAAGAATCAGGGAAACAATGAACATCTTTCTTTATACTGGAGTTGAACAGAAGACAAATGCGCTGACTGTAAAAAAAACTAGGAACTATTTGTGGCCACTCCCATTGCAAAAATATTTAATCAGAAAGACTACTAGGCATACATAAAGAAATTACTTAAATAGGGAAACAAACTATTACCAGATTTTCAGCAATGAATTACTATAAAAATTATATATGATAAAATTTTGGAACATATATTGTAGTAACACTGATGCAAAATTGGCAGCAGGAAAATATGAAGATGAAATAATTTCAAGCAGGATAACTTACCTCTCTGGATATATATGGAAGCAGTTCACTCCCATTTCTATGTTCCCCATTATCTGTAGAAACAGGAATGTTGGGACTGAACATCATAAGGTCACTCTTGGCACCAGTCTCAACATTCACACCTGCCAGGATGTGGCTGTGGCGATTGGAATAGGACCAGCTGCCCACCTCACTGGCACACACCAGGGTGGCCATGCCAGGGCCATACACTATGGATTCCTTTGCCTTGCAGTGGCATCGTAGAGTCATATAAACAAAAACGGCCAGCAGGAACAGGCTGGAAACAGAGCAGATGGCAAGGATCAAATAGATGTTGATTGAGTTCACCAGAGGCATGAAGCTCTCTCCTGACATGGAGAGATGAACATCTGTTTTAATGGCCTGGAAATTCGTCACAAGTGACAGACTCAAGGTAGCTGTAGCTGAGAGCTGAGGCTCCCCATGATCCTTGACAAGAAGCAGAACAGTGTAGAATTTGCCTCCTTCTGATTCATACAGAGAATATTTGGTACTCACCTCACCGCTATACTGCCCCACAGACCATGGACTATTGCTTTCTTCAACCAGTTCATATTTTAGCCATGCATTGTATCCAGAATCCACATCCAAGGCATGGATCTTGCCTACAATATGCCCAGGCATCACAGGGACAACTAGAAGAATTGGGTTCTCTTCTGATGACCTTGACACAGCAGGTGCATTGTCATTCTCATCCAACACAAATACTTGAACAGTCGCATTTCCATACAAGAAGGGGATTCCAGCATCCTTGGCTCTCACCTGGAACTCCAGCAGTTTCAACTCCTCATAGTCCAAGGAGTGCAAAGCATAAAGTTTTCCACTCTCCGAATGTACAGAGATGTAGCTTGACAATGGCCAGAGCTTCACATCTATCCAATAGGAGATCAGACCATTCTCACCTATATCTGGGTCTGCGGCAGACATTGTGAAGATGTGAGCACCAGGGGGATTGTTTTCCTTCACAAAGACTGTGTAGGAGGTCTGAGTGAAAGCTGGAGCATTATCATTTATGTCACTCAAAGGCACTAAAATGGTGATGCTAGAAGACAGTGGTGGAACGCCTTGATCTTCCACTGTCACAACCATCCTGTACTCAGTCACCTGCTCCCTATCCAAAGGTGCTCCAACAATTAGGGAGTAGTAATTCTTGAATGTGGACTCGAGTTGGAAAGGTACTCCAGTGGGCCAGAGGAAATAGTGTATTTGTCCATTGTTGCCAGAATCCCTGTCAGAAGCACTGATGATGGCTACCACAGTCCCTGGAGGGGAGTCCTCTGGCAATGGCACAGAGAGAGAATTCACAGATATTTCTGGAATGTTGTCATTCATGTCCAATACTTCAATGAGAACTTTACATTGCCCTGATAATGGAAAATTACCTTTATCTTTTGCCAGAATTGGAAGTTCATAGAACCTACTTTCTTCGTAATCCAATTTTCCAATCACTATGATCTCCCCAGTGTCAGAATTTATACTAAATATCTTTGTGACATGAGGAGCTAAGCTATCAGTAAAAAAATAAGAAATTTCCCTATTCATCCCTTCATCTAAGTCTGTAGTGTTCAGAGTAATAACTAATGACCCACTGACTGTATTTTCTAGCAACTTTATCCTGTAAACAGATTGGTTAAACACAGGAGGGTTGTCATTGACATCCAGCACATTGATGACTAGCTGAACAGTTCCTGTGAGTTTTGGTTCACCCCCATCAGTGGCTGTCAGTACTAAACGATGCACAGGGCTCTCCTCTCTGTCAAGTGGAACCTTCAATAGAAGTACTACAGATTTACTCTCATCTTCATCATTTCCTGAATCCAGAACAAAATGGTTGTTTGGGCTGAGCTTGTAAGTCAATAGAGCATTAGTACCAATATCAGCATCAGAGGCTCCCTTTAATGGAAATTGTGTAACTAATGTTACAAATTCAGCCATGCTCAGGATCTGTTCCCTGGCTGAGAAGATAGGAGCATTGTCATTAATATCTTTGACTTCAACCTCCACATGGAAGAACCTCAGAGGTTTCTCGACAATCACCTCCAGATGAAGGACACAGTCTGCATTCTTGGCACACAGCTCCTCCCTGTCTATCTGGGAATTTACAAACAAGATCCCATTCTGCAGGTTTACCTCAAAATAGTCCTTCTCTCCTTTGGACAGCATCCGGAACATCCGAGGCACCAGCTCGCTCACCTCCAACCCCAGATCCTGGGCGATGTGGCCCACAAAGGTGCCCTGCTGGGATTCCTCGAGCACAGAATAATGGAGCTGGCCGCTCCCCATTTTCCAGGCAGTGTGGAGCAGAAGCAGCTGCAGCATTCCCTTCGGCCAGGTAAGCATTGCAGAACTGGCACAACACTAGCAAGCTCTTCTCTTTTTCTCTAAATATCTTGCCTTAAATGAGTCAGGAGTAGAGGCCACCTACCCCAGCCATACTGGTAATGCCAGTATCTCTTTTGTTCGAGATTTTCCTTGTGATGATCATGTCTGTCCTTGCTGTCTGCTTCTTCTCTCTCTATCTTCTTCTTCATCTAGACTAGAGGTATTTCGTTACTTAGGAAACAGCGACCTCTTGTGACTTAATTTCAAAATGAGAAACAATTTCCATTGTTCTTTAACTATTAGATTATTTTAGATCTTATATTGATCCCTTGGTGCTTCCATGAAATTGCATTATAATGAAATGGATATTTGTCTGGTTTTCTGGCCATCTTTTCCACTGCCAATTGATGAACATCACATAGATGGGGGGAAGTTGAAGTAGTTGCAAACCATTTAAGTCAGACTTTTGACCACGATGACAAACATTGCTACATTAATTCCAAAGAAACTCATAACAGTATTCTAATGCTATGAAAGCAGAAGTACTTTTGTAGTTTTATTTTTGAGTTTGGCTGGATATGCAGCTCTTGAACTTTTTAGGCAAATGATAAGCAGGGCAAGTTCTCAAACTCATGTGATGTTTTAACTGGCTTATTCCTGAAATAGATTACATGTTGCAATTAATCTAACCCCCATATTTGAGTGCATTTCCAGAGTATAGTAACTGTTGGTTCTTTCCCTGATTAATCTGTTGCTTTTAGTGCCATCACTAAGTCTATAAAATGTTATTCTTTACCAGCGTTATATTGCCAAAATTATTTTTAGGAGACTATAAATTTTTTTATCACTTTTTTCTACAACTGATTTTCATATGACCCCTGTTTAGCATGTACTATTTTGTATTAAACGTTGTGAGAAGAAAAAAAGTACAGAAATTCAAACATTTACTCTTTTATATTTCATTCCCAGTTACAAAGAATCTTTTATTTAATAACCTCACATAACAATTTTGATTAACCCAGAAAGAAAATTTCATGAACACAGTCACCACTAGTAAATTCTGAATCAAGAGGGTCTGTCTGATTATTTTTTTACACACAAACTTTTACTGTAGTTTTTTATTGCTTAAGTAGAGTAGCCAGAATATAGAAGCCAGCTAATAATGAATGTTCATTTCTGCATGTAATAGATAGCAATTGTCCACTGTTCAAAAAAAGATAAACTATTGAAGAGCATATATATACTGTATAGGTTGTAGACTTGCCTCATTGTTATTGCATTCTAGTCTAACACTTGTAACTTAGTTACAGTGGTTTTGGAAAGAGAAATATGGTTTGAAGACATTTAGAATTATAGTGAAAAAATTAAATTCATCACCATATTAAAAAATATGGATTTATCCTCTTTATTTACATAATATAAAGACTGGTCAATATTATGTAATACTATATCATGCCATGTCATGTTGCTGTCATGTTGCTGTGTCACATTACTGTCATGTGATGTATCACAATGTTTTTTCCCTTCGCAGAGCTGGGGTGGGCTTAGCCTGCGTGTGACGCATCCGGCCCGCAGGCCATCAGTTCTATATGATCAAGGATTAATTATTAAATTTTGAAGTATAGTTAAGTTTCTTTCCCTTTCCCTTTCTCCCTTTTCCCTTTGTTTTAAGTATTCTTTTCTTTTTTTTTATTGAAAAAGTTTTTCAAATACAAAATTTTCCCCCTTTTTCCCCCCCTCCTCCCTAACCCCCCCTCCCCCTCCCCTCCCCCTGTGGCTTCTTCAAAATAAAACCCAAATTCATAACAGATTATATAATACTTTAAGGTCCCCTTACTCCATCCCCCCTATGCTGACCCTTTCTGTCTAATAATATTATTATATCCCCCTTATACTATACATTTCAAAATAACATTCTATTATAACATTATATAATAACTCCTAATTTAGCATAATAATATTATTATATCTCCCAGTTTAACAATTTTTGCTCATAATCTACCCTTTTTCTCCCCCCCATACACATATCTCTTAAATCAATTTTATGTATATTAATATAACATTTCAAAGCAACCTTCCACTATAAAACTATATAATAAATCCTAATTTAACATTTATTCAACTCATAGTCTGCCCATTTCATCCACCCCCCATAGATATATCTCTTAACTCAAATCTTTTACATATATTCATATCTAAACATAATATCCCTTTTCTTAAACTAAACAATCAATAAGCTAACCTGTCTCCACCAACTTTCCTACAAGACTACCATACTTAATAATTCTTAGTATCTTTATTCTTCTGCCCACACCACTAAAAAATATTCCCTTATGTAAATAAAATCCTCTTAAAAAGATTTTAAGCTTGTAATCCATATGATATCTTCTGTAATGTCTTTCAGCTGGATTGTTAGCTCCATCACCCATGTTAGGGTAACATCACATCCTAATTCCAACAATATGTTCGGTATCTTCAATTACCATCTGCCCCCATCAATAGCAAATATCTTCTAAAAAAAGAAAACAACCACCCAAGTGACTTTATATTTGTATTCCATATAATGTCTATAGTGGTGTCTTTCATCCAAATTATTAATTCCAACCACCGTAATAGGGTAACAGCCAGATCATCTGCGTGCCCCGATCCCATAGCTCTCTTGCCTTGTAGCTCAGCATAAACGTAGTACATTTATCAAAGAATCAAAAAAAAAAGATAGTTCCAATCCATTCAGTTTAAGGCCCTTTTCACATCCCAAAAATACAGCACTGCAGAGGTCTGTCACTCTCCTCAGGATAATATAAACCAATACTTTGCCTCAGCTATCTTTTCATATGTCCAATCATCTCTTAGATAACTGGCATTACACTGTTGTTTAGTTTAAAAGTTTTTATTTTTGTGAGACCTGCTTCTTCTTTTCTTGACTTTTTGTGGGTTAGATCTCCATCCTGATTTCCTTTCTATAAATTGTATATCAACTGTTTGGTTTTCATGCTGATCTATAACTTGATCTTGTTGATTTTGCTTTTGTGGCTTAAATCTCCATTCTGGTTCTATGAGTTGTATATCAACTGATTGATTTCCATGCTGGTCTGTAACTTGATAAGTCATCACATTAGAATCCAGAGCCGCCTCTCTTGTATTTATAAGTAGTCCAGCTAAGACCTCTGAAGGAGAATCCAGAAGCGGCTCATCTACAAAGACCTCTGTAACTTGTTGTTTTTCCATTACTTCCACCTCCTTCCGCTTATCCTGAATTTCTATCTCTTGTTGATTTTGCTTTTTGAGAACCTTGTAGTAAAATTCTTCCGCTTTTTCAACAGTATTTAGTTGATATCTTTCTCCTTGATATCTCAATATTATACCAACTGGGACATCCCACCTGAATGAGATGTGTTGTTTCTTTAGCTCAGTCACCAAAAATCCAAATTTCTTTCTATCTTTTAGCATCTTGGGCGGCAACTCTTTATATATCCAGATCTTTCTTCCGTACAATTGTAGAGTAGAATTAAAGGATTTTTGCACAATATCATTTCTCATTTCTTTATCTGTGAAGTAAATCACCACATCTCTAGGCAATTGCCTTTGCTTTGCAATCCAAGAATTTACTCTATAGGCCTTGTCAATCTTACAAGATACCTCCTCAGGATGAACCTTTAAAATCCCGGCCAGAACTTGAGCAGATATTTTTCTTAAATCATCTCTATTATTTTCCTGTAACCCTCTCATTCTAACCGCAAATTCTGTGAGCCTGTATTGCATCATTGTAACTTCTTTTTCAATCCCTTGCTTTATATCTTCTGCATTGTAAGTCTCGTGACCAGCTTCCTTATTAGACTTTACTTCTAAACTGTTGTCTTGAATATTTATCAAATCATTTTCAATTCTTTGTATTTTATTATCCAAATTATAAATCTTATCATCAACTTCCTCCATTTTAGACTCTAATAACTTGATATTTGTATCCATCTTTATAACAATTTCTGAAAAAGCATTAGTCACTGTTACAATCTTTCGTTGCAAATTATCATACTTTAGTTGTATCAATTCTTTAATTTCCTGCCTAAATTTTTCAAAATTCTGGTTCACAGTCTCGTGATATCTTGCCATTTCCTCCAGGACAAATTCTTTTAAATTAAAGCCATTCTGCTGAATCTGTAAGCTCAGAACTTGTTCACATAATTGTAAATGGGGGAACACCCCCCCCCGCTGCTTGTTTGTCAGGCTTTATTAGTTTTAGCGCCATCCTGCCACACCAGCAAACTCTTTTTAAAGCAAGAAAACTTCTCCCCAAACAAGATCAATATCAAATCTCCAAAAAAAAAAGGGAAACTTAAAATCCACACAAAAGATTTTTTTTTTTGCTTTTTCCTTTTAAAGAAAAAGACTTCTCTCCAAACAATATCAATAACAAATCTCTAAGAAGAAACATGAAATAAGAATTTTTTCTCTGCACTTCTAACCAGCACTTTTGCTAGATACTTTGTAGCTTTATAACTTTGTAACGTTATAAGCTATTCAAACGGAAGGACTTTTACTTTCAGCTTTTCTCAAGCCTCAGCCAGTCTCCATTTTAAACTCTCCTTTTTCCTCCTTTCACTCTTCTTTAACTTTAAAATCAGTCTTGGGGTTAGAATACTTGCAGTTTAGGATCCCCGATCCAAATTTCATCCTGCTTATTCAGATGATCTGTTAATTTCGTTGACTGGTCCGGTTCCAGCGCCTGGCTCTGCAAAAAGGCAGAGTTCTCCCGAAGCCCGGAGCAGCGGCGAGCGGAAATAGGGAGCCACAACCTACTCGTCCCCAAGAGTAAAAAAAGAACTCTGGGGACTTCGCAGAGGGCTCTACCTGCCCTCACCTGCTCTATCTCACATTTCCTTCAGGAAATGGAGTTGTTCGAGCCGCCTTTCAGATGTAAAGGCGGCTCTTTACAGGCAACGGGGCTGGCGGTCTCAGAGGACCATCTGGTGGCGATGGAAACCAGACCGGAAGCCCCAAGTATTCTTTTCTGATATGTTTCCTCCCTCCCCCCTTTCCTCCCCTAAACTGACAAAAAGGAAAATAACTATAGCTATGTAAAGTTGTGAGCCTTGGAATCTAGTATATTAGTCACAGAAGCTTCACTCTACATACTTGCCTTCAGTTTGATGATTTGCTAACAATAAAAGGATCTTGATAGACTTGAGCACTAGGCTCAAGTCCAACAAGATGCTGTGAAAAAGTAAGGTCCTGCACTTAGGAAAAACCAAATGTACAGCTATAGAATAGATGGTACTTGACTCAACAGTACTAACTGTGAGAGGGATATAAGTGTCCTAGTGGTCCTATCCAAGTATGAGCCAGCAGTGTGCCAAAAAAAGCCAATGCAGTCCTAAGATGTATCAAGCAGAGTGACAGCATCAAGATCACAAGAAGTGATAATACCACTTAATACCACCCTCGTGAGGCCACATTTGGAATACCACGTACAATTCTAGTCATCATACTATAAAAAAGATGTTGTGACTGTAAAAGGAGTGCAGAAGCTCCCTTAAGATAATTAAGATACTGGAGACTAAACCATACATTGAATGGTTGAGGGAACTGGCTGTGTCTAGTATTTCTTTCAACGTATAAATTTTTAACATTTCTTTTAACAAGAAAACAAGAAAAAAGTCAAGGAAACAATTGGTCCATAAATGGGATAAGATGACAAGGAGGTGACAGATAGCAGGGAGAAAGGAGGCCATAGAATACGATGAATCGTAGCAGAGACTGGGTATGTCTAGTCTAATGAACAGAAGAACTAGGGATGACATGATAGCAAGACTTCTACTACTTGATAGGCTGTCAGAAAGAAGACAGGATGGATTTATTCTCCAAAGTACCAGAAAGCAGGAAGTATGGGTGGAAACTTATTAAAGATACATCCATCTAAGGAAAAATTTCCTGACAATGAGAAAAATTAATCAAGGGAATGATTAACTCCTGTTGCCTGGAGTCATGAGTGCTCAATCATGATAGCATTTCAGGAATAGAACAACTATCTGTACAGGATGGTATATGATCTTTTACCTTGAGCAGCTGGTTGGAATAGAAGGCCTCCAAGGTCCTTTGAAGTCCTATGAGTCTATGAATTTTTGATCAGCATTCTTTCAATACATATTTCGAATCAGCTATAGATTCATTGAATTGACAAGGTATCAGGTTCACATTTAACAAACTTCTTAATCAGAAAGTTACAGTATACTTTGTCAAATGCCTTGATGGAATCAGTATGTAAGATGTTCATACCATTCTTATAATTTCAGTAAGTTGATGCAACACCCAACTGACCTTGGCTAATCTCAAGAAAATTGAACTGTAAGTATATAGATAGGGAAACACTAAGACATCCCAGGCTTATAACAATAGCAATAGCACTTAGACTTACATACCACTTCACAATGCTTTTCAGCCCTCTCTAAGTGGTTTACACAGTCAGGATATTGCCCCCAACAATCTGGGTCCTCATAAAATAGATTGTGAAGATAAAAATACTCCACAAAATTAAAGGACTGGAAAAGCACATCTATACTGAGAAAATTGTCTGATTAAACAAATAAGTTCCCATTTGACATGTTCTTGAAAAATCCAAGCAGATCTTTAGCATTTACTGCTTAATTGCTTTATGAGTTTCTCATAATACAACAGATATTCCTTGAGCTCTATCATTTTCAGCTATATAGGTTTGCAGACTCAGAATTCCCTGCCATCTGCCCTTTGCTGAGAATTCTGGAAGCTCAGCACCACACATCTACAACTTGACAAGGTTGGGAAACACTGGTGAGCCTCCCCACTATCAATGTCAGGCTGTCAAAACTACAGATCCCTTCATCTTATTTTGTTGAAGGTTGCAAGGATTTCCCTCTTCCAATCCCCTCATATTTCAATTCTCTCAGATTATTCATTCAGATACATAAAATAAAGACCTGGGTTTTCATATGATATAATCCGTTCCCACTCCCCAAACACATGCTAAATTGACACTTCTCAAAGATTTGAATTATAGAATGTAAGGATTGGGAAGGACTTTGGTGTAGGAAGATCATTTGATTCCTTGCAACCTCACAAAGTGTGACACTGCAGGTGTTGCAATAGAAACAGGATAAAAGAATCCACCTAATGGTTGTTAAACTGACAAGGCCATTCCAGTTTGGATTAGAGAGCTCTAGTACAAAGTAATATTTTATCATTTTATGAATATGACTATCCAGTTATCAGTTATAATTTCTGTATTTCAAACATATTACTTTTATCCAATTGTTAACTCCTGTACAATATTAGACTTTCTATTTTTAAAGTTACCAACAATATATTAACAAGATATAAACTTCCCAAACTTACAAATAATGTTCTGTGTAATCTAGTAGATTAATAAAATTTTAACATTTGCAATTTATGCTAGCCATAAACATTGTCACAAAAAGAGGCATTACATTGATAACTGATTCATTAACTAACAAAACCATCAACCATAGAAAAATCATTCATTATTGTTCACATATAAGTTACTGTCAAACTTTTTTGAACCTTTCTATAGCTTCTCAAATTAGAGAAATATTTTATCTACAAAAAAAAGGATTCATGATTTGTAATTCAATATATTTTCCACCAGTGTCTAAACCTAAAAATTAAATATTTATTTATTTATTCATTCATTCATTCATTCATTCATTCATTCATTCATTCAATTTGTATGCCGCCCCTCTCCGAAGACTCAGGGCGGCTCATTATAAGCATGGATATAGGATGCTAAGTGGATGACAAGAACTCTAAGACCTGGACTCACCTTTTTAGCAGAATCTGGGGGCACATCCACCCCATTGATAAGTTCCCCATTATCTGCAAAGACAGGAATATTGGGACTGAAAATCATGTGATCGCTCTTGACACCAGCCTCTGCACTCACACCTGCCAGGATGTGGCTGTGGCGATTGGAATAGGACCAGCTGCCCACTTCGCTGGCACACACCAGGGTGGCCATGCCAGGGCCATACACCATGGGTTCCTTTTCCTTGCAGTGGCATCGCAGGGCCATGTAGATGAGAGTGGCCAACAAGAAGAGGCTGGAAACAGAGCAGATGGCAATGATCAGATAGACGTTGATTGAGTCCACCAGGGGCACAAAGTTTTCACCTGACCTTTGAAGATTAATATCCGTTTTCATTGTCTGACCATTTGTCGCAAGTGACACACTCAAGGTGGCTGTAGCTGACAGTTGAGGTTTTCCATGGTCCTTCACAAGAACCAAAACACTGTGGATTTTGCTTCCTTCTGATTCTTCTAGAGAATATTTGGTACTCACCTCACCACTATACTGCCCCACAGACCATGGACTATTGCTTTCTTCAACCAATTCATACTTTAGCCATGCATTGTATCCAGAATCTGCATCCAAGGCATGGACCTTGCCGACAATATGCCCAGGCATCATGGGGACCACTAGAAGAATCAGATTCTCTTCTGATGACCTTGACAGAGCAGGTGCATTGTCATTCTCATCCATCACAAAGACTTGAACAGTCGCATTGCCACACAAGGAGGGCATTCCAGCATCCTTGGCTCTCACATGGAACTCCAGCAGTTTCAACTCCTCATAGTCCAAGGACTGCAAAGCATAAAGTTTTCCACTCTCTGAATGTACAGAGATGTAGCTTGACAATGGCCAGAGCTTCTCATCTATCCAATAGGTGATCAGGGCATTCTCAGCTATATCTGGGTCCCCAGCAGACATTGTGAAGATGTGAGCACCAGGGGGATTGTTCTCCTTCACAAAGACTGTGTAGGAGGGCTGTGTGAAAGCCGGAGCATTGTCATTTATGTCACTAATAGGCACTAAAATGGTGAGACTAGAAGACAGTGGTGGAACGCCCTGATCTTCAACTGTCACAACCATCCTGTACTCAGCCACCTGCTCTCGATCTAGGACTGCACCAACGATCAGGGAGTAGTAATTCTTGAATGTAGATTCAAATTTGAAGGGTACACCAGTGGGCCAGAGGAAACAGTTTATCTGCCCATTGATTCCAGAATCCTTGTCAGAAGCACTGATTATGGCTACCACAGTCCCTGGAGGGGAGTTCTCTGCCAATGGCACAGAGAGAGAATTCACAGATAGTTCTGGAACGTTGTCATTCATGTCCAAAACCTCAATGAGAACTTTACAGTGTCCTGATAATTGAGAACTGCCGTTATCCTCTGCTACAATTGGAAGTTCATAGAACTTACTTTCTTCGTAATCCAATTTTCCAATCACTATGATCTCCCCAGTATCAGAATTTATACTAAATATCTTTGTGACATGAGGAGCTAAGCTATCAGTAAAAAAATAAGAGATTTCCCTATTAATCCCTTCATCTAAGTCTGTAGCATTCAGATTAATAACTAATGACCCACTGACTGTATTTTCTAGCAACTTTACCCTGTAAACAGATTGGTTAAACACAGGAGGGTTGTCATTGACATCCAGCACATTGATGACTAGCTGAACAGTTCCTGTGAGTTTTGGTTCACCCCCATCAGTGGCTGTCAGTACTAAACGATGCACAGGGCTCTCCTCTCTGTCAAGTGGAACCTTCAATAGAAGTACTACAGATTTACTCTCATCTTCATCATTTCCTGTATCAAGACTAAAATGGTTGTTCGGGCTGAGCTTGTAATTTAATAGAGCGTTAGTAGCAATATCTGCATCAGAGGCTCCCTTTAAAGGAAATCGAGTACCAGATGCTGTTATCAATTCAGCCATGCTCAGGATCTGTTCCCTGGCTGAGAAGATAGGAGCATTGTCATTAGTGTCTTTGACTTCAACCTCCACATGGAAGAACCTCAGAGGTTTCTCGACAATCACCTCCAGATGAAGGACACAGTCTGCATTCTTGGCACACAGCTCCTCCCTGTCTATCTGGGAATTTACAAACAAGATCCCATTCTGCAGATTTACCTCAAAATAGTCCTTCTCTCCTTTGGACAGCATCCGGAACATCCGAGGCACCAGCTTGCTCACCTCCAACCCCAGATCCTGGGCGATGTGGCCCACAAAGGTGCCATGCTGGGATTCCTCCAGCACAGAATAATGGAGCTGGCCGCTCCCCATTTTCCAGGCAGTGTGGAGCAGAAGCAGCTGCAGCAGCCCCTTCGGCCAGGTAAGCATTGCAGACACTGGCACAACACCAGCAAGCTCTTCTCTTTTTCTCTAAATATCTTGTCTCAAAGGTGTCATGAGCAGAGACCATCTACCCCAGCCATACTAGTTCACAGGTTGAATCTTGGCTTGTTGAGATCTCTCTGTTGTTTGATATTTCCCTTATAGATCTGACTGGCAGGAATGTCTGTCCCTTTAAGGGAGGGGCTCTGCATTTTCAGTTTCACTTAGAGGATTTCCTTAGGAAACAGCGACCTCCTGTGACTGAATTTCAAAATGAGAAACAGACTTCCACTCTTTATTGAGTCTGCGATACTTTTTCCTTCGAGGGCTTACTATTCCTTCATGTATCTCTGATATGTAGTTTTCCTTCTTTTGTTCTTTAAATATTATATTAATTTAAATCTTATATTGATGCCTTGGTACTCCCTGGCCATCTTTCCCACTGCCAATAGATGAACACCAAATAGATGGGGGGAAGTTGAAGTAGTTGCAACCATTTAAATCAGAATTTTGACCAAGATGACAAACATTGGAACATTAATTCCAAGGAAACTCATAATGGTATTCCAATGCTATGAAAGCAGAAGTATTTTTCTAGTTTTATTTCTGAGTCTTGGCTGGATATGCAGCTCTTGAACTTTTTAGGCGAACGACAAGCAGGGCAAGTTCTCAAAACTCATGTGATGTTTTAACTGGCTTATTCCTGAAATAGATTACATGTTGCAATTAATCTAACCCATGTATTAGAGTGCATTTCCAGAGTATAGTAACTCTTGGTTCTTTCCCTGATTAATCTGTTGTTATCAGTGCCATCACTGAGTCTATAAAATGTTATTCCTTACCAACATTTTATCACCAAAATTATTTTTAGGAGACCATAGAAGACATTCTAAATCATTAATAACGTCCCTGCCTCAGAATCAATAAATAATTAGGTAGTGAAACCAGTTTCAAAATTGTTTCTGTGTGATCCCTTGAAAATTATATTGTATTGGTATAAAAACTATGTATCTATGTCTCTGTTTTTGCATTTGTATTCTCTTTTTTTTATTTAGTTCCCTTTTTTATTCTGCATCACTTTTTTTACTTTCATAGATTTTTTATCAGTTTTTTCCGCAACTTATTTTCAGATGTTTAACATGTACTGTTCTGTACTAAATCTTTTGAGAAGGAAAAAAGTACAGAAATTCAAACTTTTCCATTTTTATATTTCATTTCAAGCAACTTAATGAGTCTGTCACTAAATAACCTTATATAATAATTTTTTCACTATTGTTTCCTTTATACTCATAAACATACTGACACACTGAACATCTAATAATCATAAAGGAAATTGTACTTTTATTTTTTATAGCTCGGAAGAAAACAATGGCAAACCTATTAACCTCATTAGCCTGGTGGAAAAAATCATGAATGCAGTCTTCACTAGTCAACCTTTAATCTAGAGGGTCTATCTGGGTTTGTTTTCACAAACATTTACTTTTTTATTGCTTAGGTAGAGTAGCCTGAATATAGAAACCATCCGACAAGAAATGTTTGTCCGTGCATGTAAAAGATAGTAATTTTCCACTGTTCTATCTTCTCCACCCTGTGATCAAGAAAACAAGTTAGGGGGGCAGAGCCAGCTGTCAAGGGGGAAAGCTGTGTAAAACAGCGCTCCGGTTTGGAGAATCGCTTTCAAAGCTATTTTCCTTCGGTCGGCGGACTCTTCAGAGTCCCAGATCCCTTGGAGGGGGAATCGGAAGAAAAGGGCGCCCTGCAGTGCAATTCTTGGCATCAGTTGGGATAGCAGATGGCAAGAAAGCCTCAGAGAAGCTGATTGGGGATAAAAGACGCCCACAATGGTGGCCGTGAAGAAATGACATCAGAGAGCTGGACAATGATAGCACTGGACTAGCCGGACAACAGAAACATGGAGCTGGGCTAAAGCGATCTTGGTATCTTCTTGCGAGTAAGCCAGGCGAAAGACCTTCCTGGAGGATTAGCAAAGAGGGAAGAGGAAAAAGGAGGCCCCAGGAAGGGGGAAATTCCCTCCAAAACACAGCAGCGAATGGCAAGTTTAGGGCTTAAAAGAGGCTATTTCAATGCAGGAGACAACGTTGTAGAAGTGAGGGGGGAAAGTTAAGGGAGTATCTTGCTATTATTGATGATTTGATATTATAAAACCAGTCAATTTAAAGTTTGAGAGTGAAAGTGCTGATTAATTGGAGATTACGGACATTTTGAAGAGTGAGTGATGGTTGAGTAATATAACAAGGAGCAAGGGTGACACCTACTGGCCAAGAGAAGAAAAGCTAATTCAAAGGAATATAAGAGCTACATTTGAGAATTTGCTGCTAACTAACTTATAAATTGGGGAGATCCTGTGCATAACTTTGGCTATGACAGAACTTGTGAAATAGTGCTCATTTAGAAACAGAGAAAACACTACAAGGCGGTGGTGATATGGGACACTTTTAAGAAGACATTACCTTTATGAGTACTTTTATGATTACTACTTTATTTTTTCTTACTATTTGATTACTATATTTTTTTCTATCTAATATATTAAGTAATGACGGCATTGATATTGAATGTAATTTAATTATAAATTCTGTTATTAATTAATTGTTGATATTGTTGGATGTGCTAGATCGATATATTGGAAGGATAGATTAATATAAGGATGCTAAATTTAAATGACATTTAAGAACATAGGATATTAAGGGGAAGTGGTGAATTTAAGTACTGAAAATTGAATTGTGGAATTAGTAATAGCTGGGGTGTGCTGGAGAAATACAAGAGGAATATAAGAAAGTGGGGAAGTTGGTGTAAAGTGGTTGGTGTAAAGCATTTCTAATTTGACAAGAATTGGTGCAGGGAAAAGGCAGGGGGTACAAACTATGACAGTGGAACTGAGTCCAGCAGGGCAAAGGTCCATCGAGGAAATAATGCAAAAGGAAAGGTCCAATTCATTCAAAGACTTACAACAAATGTTACAGACAATGCAGGATGTTATGCTAAAAAATCACGAGGACTTAAAACGAGAGATAGCAAAAGTAAGGAGTGATACAGAAGAATTGAAAGAAAAGATGAGATCAATGGACGATAAATTTGAATGCTTCCAGCAACAAATAATGAAAAATGAGCAAAAACTACAGGAAATGGAGGAGAGAATGGGAAGAGAAGAAAAAAGAGTGGAAGACATGGAAGAAAGACTGATACAAGCCAATAAAGATCTGGAACTGTCAGTTAACCATTTAGAAACAGAAAAAGCAGACCACTTCCTACAATTCCAAAATGTGAGGGAAGAAAACAGTGAGGACCTTCGGAGATGATGGCGGATTTATTGGCGGGTGCACTAGGAATTGGGAAAGAGGAAATGATCAACGAAATGGATGAAATCTATAGGATACATACTAATTATGCACATAGGAACAATCTACCCAGAGAAGTACATATTAGATTTATAAAAAAATCAATACGTGACAAGATCCTGCATAGGACCAGAGAAGACCCATTGGAGTTTAGAGGAAGGCAGCTGGTGGTGCTTAAACAGGTTCCCAGAAGGATAAGAGAACTACGACGACCCTACCAAAAGTAACATTCAAATTGACAAGAAAAAATGTAAATTTCCGATGATTGATTCCAGAGGGGATTATGGTATAGTGGAGTGAAAAAAGTTCAGACTGGACACTGTGGACAAAGTAGAAGAGTTTTACAGACAGAATTTTGGTAATGAAGGGGAGGTGGAAGAAAGAGAAAGAAGGGAGGATAGAGAACTAAGAGGACAGTCACCAGAGAAGAGGGAATCTCAAAGTAAAGAGAAAGGTAATGTGAAAAGAGAGAATGTAGATAATGGGAAAGATGATTATGGTGGACACAAAGAATACAAAGAAATCAGACAAGTTGTATTTAGGGCAACAAGGCCTAAATACAAATAGAGATGTACAAGAGGAAATATCAATCTTATCTGTAAATGTTAATGGGTTAAATGCTCCAGGAAAAAGGAAACATTTTTTCAATAAATTGTATAAGATGAACTTGGATATAATAGTTTTGCAAGAAATGCACATAAAAAAGCAACATCACCATCTATTAAAATGTAATAAGCTAGGCAATTTGTTTATATCTTCATCACAGCACAAGAAAGGGGGAATTGTTATGTATGTAAAGGATGGAATGTTGGCTAAACAAATATGTAAAGATGAAGAGGATAGAATATTACTAGTAGAGTTAACCTTGAACGGAAAAAAAAACGATCTTGACTGGAATATACGCGCCAAGCAAGGGTCAAAAATTATTCTATAAGAAATTGTATAACATGATAGGAGATTTAGAATATGATAATATGTGGATAATTGGTGATTACAATGTGATTGTGGATAGAGAACTAAACTATAGGAATGATAGATCAAAGAAAAGTATCAGAAGAATACTACCTAATATATTTTTTAAAATGGTGGAAGAACTGTCTAAAGGATAGTTGGAGGGAAAGAAATGGGAACAAGAAACAATATACACATTACTCTGGCAGACATCAATCTTGGTCGCAAATTGACATGGCATGGGCATCAACGGAATTAAATTTAGAAATTGAGGAAATTAATATTGATACAAATTCATGGGCAGATCACAATCCTATTATAATTAAATGGAAAGGACAAAAAAAGATAAGGAGGTGGACCCTAAAAAAAGCAATTCTAAATTAAAGAAATTAAATTAAAGATGGATGGACAAATGAGCTTGTTTTTTCAAAGTAATAAAAAAGAGGATACAAATAGTCAAAATCTGTGGGATATGGCCAAAGCTTATATGAGAGGAATAGCAATAACATACATGGCTAAAGATAATAAACAAAAAAGGCAGCGACAGAAAAATCTAGAGGAGGAGCTTAGCAAATTGGAGAAAGAATTACAGGAAGAACCAAAAAAGTGGGAATTGAAACAGCAAATAGATATAACTAAACATAAATTGAATATCATTGAAAAGGAGAGTATGGTGCAGCAAATAAAAAGTATCAAACAAAACTTTTTTGAGAATGCAAATAAGCAGGGACGTTGGTTGGTTTATAGAT